TTTCTCCATATACATATAATTATTATTATTATTATTAATTTAGGGAACTAGAGCACATATCCAATTTCCTAGATCAAGAGCCCCTCACCAGCGTCAAGGACCCTTGACGCTGGTGAGGGGCTTCAGTTCCCTAAATTATTATCAATAATAATAGTTAAGATAATAATAATTATTATTACAATAACGATAGAGCTTCAGTTCCCTAAATTAATAATAATAATACTACATTATTATAACAACAAGAGCTTCAGAACGAAGTCAACTCCGTGCACTGTTTACCTAGCTGTGGGAGCAGTTCTCTCCTGGTTTGCTTACATTTCTGACAGTCATTTGGCCAAATTTCGCTTTTCTAACCATAGGTCCTAAGAAAGTAAGTGTAAAGGACAGTGCTGATAAGAAAAAGAGGATGATTTCCATGGAATTAAAGCATGAAATCATAGATAAACAAGAGAGATATCCAGGTTTTGGATTGAGGGGGAACTGGCTCGTAACTCAAATGTTGGCACGTAACGTAGAGCCAAAAATCGACTGATCGACGGCCCATATCTCAAAAAACTCGTACGTTGGGACACTCGTAAGTCAAGGTTCCACTGTACAGGAAGGCCCCACTTATACGGCTGATTAGGTTCCAGGCTACCGCCATAAAGCGGAAACCGCCGTAAAGTGGAACACCCTTTTTTTCCACTTACAAATGCATACAAACACTAGATAACAAGTTTACACTAACATATATTAAGTTAGCAATAGAACCAGGCATCAAAAAACAATAAAAAAGTACAATACACACATAGTGCACTCATTACTTACCTTAAAATATTTATAGTCTTAATCTAGGGTGAGACAAGCAGTGTTTATTGTAAGAAATCAAGTGTGGTATGTATGGTAGTCAGCCAGGCTACCATACCAGGCCACCCCACCCACACATACAATTCTATAATATTTAAGCATCCCAGAGCGATAAAATGTATATACAGTTCACTCATTACTTACCTTAAAATATAGGGTGAGATGAGTAGTATTTATTGTAAAAAATCAAGTGTGGTATGTATGGTAGTCAGCCGGGCTACCATACCAGGCCAACCCACCTACACATGATATTCTTATTACATTTAAGCATCCCAGAGCGATAAAATGTATATACAGTTCACTCATTACTTACCTTAAAATATTTGTAGTCTTAATGTAGGGTCAGGAGTAAGTAAATGAGATAAAACAAATAAATGAGAGAGAGAAAGAATGAGTGCATGAGAGAGGACAGGCGCAGAGTTATGTAAACAAACCAGGCGAAGGTAAGTTTTGTAAACGAAGTGTACACGTCTGGTTTGTGTACAAGTTACATTGTGTACAGGTTGTCTCTACATTGATATGGTAGAATAAGTAAAGAACACTCCCATTCTCAGTAAACCTCATTTGAGAAGAAATGATGCTCTGAGTGAAGGCAATGGAAAAAGTCACTCTGACTTTTTTGGGTTATCCTAGGTTCTCTACACATATGTTATGTATGATAATCTATGGAACTGTATTTGTGTATACCTGAATAAACTTACATACATACAAAAGGAATAATTTTCTACAGTTACCCCCAGTAACACATTTTCTCTTATGTTAGATTAGAGAAAATGTTATTCTTGGCCTCACTTGTACAAGTTATCTGGCTACCACATCTCATATTTATGTTTATTTATTCTTTTGTAGGGTGTATTTATCATCTTTTTATGTTATGTATCGTGTTTATTATATACAGGAGGGCCCCACTTATACGGCGGGTTAGGTTCCAGGCTACCGCCGTAAAGTGGAACACCCTTTTTTTTTTTCCCACTTACAAATGCATACAAACACTAGATAACAAGTTTACACTAACATATATTATGTTAGCAATAGAACCAGGCATCAAAAAACAATAAAAAAGTACAATACACACATAGTGCACTCATTACTTACCTTAAAATATTTATAGTCTTAATCTAGGGTGAGACAAGTAGTATTTATTGTAAGAAATCAAGTGTGGTATTATGGTAGTCAGCCAGGCTACCATACCAGGCCACCCCACTCACACATACTAATCTATGATATTTAAGCATCCCAGAGCGATAAAATGTATATCATTCACCATTACTTACCTTAAAATATAGGGTAGGATGAGTATATTTTTTGTAAAAAAAACAAGTGTGGTTATGTATGGTAGTCAGCCGGGCTACCATACCAAGAGAAAGAATGAGTGCATGAGAGAGGACAGGCGCCCGGTTATGTAAACAAACCAGGCAAGGGAAGTTTTGTAAACAGTGTACACGTCGGTTTGTGTACAAGTTAACATTGTGTACAGGTTGTCTCACATTGATACGGTATAATAAAATAAAGAAAACACTCCATTCTCATGTAACAAACATTTTGAGAAGAAATGATGCTCTGAGTGAAGGCAATGGAAGTAAGTCACTTGACTTTTTTTGGGTTTTCCTAGGTTCTCTACACTATGTTATGTATTTATGTTATGTATCGTGTTTAATTTTATAATTTTGAAAAAATATCACGGATGGATTAATAAAATGTGTATATTAACGAATATACAACATTTAAATGATACACCGAGCTCAGACAGCGTAAACAAACAAACTGAACAGGTTTTTGGACGATCACTCGGTCAGGCGAAATAGACGGTATTAATACGTGTCCAGTTTTAGTTCATTCATGTACATTTGTAAGAGTTTGTGAAACTTTTACCTTATAATATTTTTATTATTATTATAATAATTAAATCACGAAACAAATACTCTTACACTGTGTACAAGTTAGTACAGAATTATAGCTATAAAGTGAAGGCATACGAAAGGAATATTTTTCTACAGTTATCCCTAGTAACAGGTGACGGGCTAGAGAAAACGTAATTCTTCCGACACTTCTACAAACCGTTTGATAAACATCTCATATATATTTGTATAAATTTTTATACTGTGGGTGCATGTATCATGTTTGTGTGTTACATAATGTGTTTCTTATATAATTTTGAAAAAAATATCATAGATAAAGGGAAATGTCTATATTAACGTAATATGCGACATTAATGCGCCCAAGAGATTATTATTATTACTAATTATTATTATTATTATTATTATTGCATCAAGAGTAGAGAGACTCTTAGTGATTTTAATGTGTACCTACATGCCAGCACAGTGTGTAAGTTTATTTAGGTACAGGTGTACACAAGTTTAATTATCAAGTACAATACATATAAAATATACAATAACTTTAAAACACTTGAAATTTTGGAAAGTTTCCAGACATAATAAGGAGATGTGCTCAGGGAGAATGTAAACAAACTCGGTGGGCCGCTGTGACCGTATTAGCAAGACAGGTGGGGGGAGCCGTATAGCGAGTTTTGGTCATAATTTGAAATGTCCGTATTAGCGGAACGCTGTAAAGCAAAACGCCGTAAAGCGGGGCCCTCCTGTAATTTTGAAAAAAATATCATGGATGGATTAATGAAAATGTGTATATTAACGTAATATACAACATTTAATGAGACTCGGTGATTATTATTATTATTAGCATTTCTAATATGGCGTCACTTGTGCAAGTCGTCTGCTACCACATCTCATATTTATGTTTATTTATTCTATTGTGGGATGTATTTATCATCTTTTTATGTTATGTATCGTGTTTATTATATAATTTTGAAAAAATATCATAGATGGATTAATGAAAATGTGTATTTAACGTAATATACGACATTTAAATGAGACTCGATGATTATTATTATCATTACTAATATGACGTCTGGAGACAAAGACACTCTTACTGATTTTAATGTGTACCTGCATGCCAGCACAGTATGTAAGTTTATTTAAGTACAGGTATACATAAGTATAATTATCAGAGTATATATAAAATATGAAATAACTTTTAAAAACATTTGAAATTTTGGAGTTTCCAGACAAAATGGAGAGACTTAGTGCTTACTGAGCTCACGAAGAATGTAAACAAACAAGGTGGGGCGCGGTGACCGTATTAGAAAGTCAGGTGGGGGGAGCCGTATAGCGAGTTTTGGTCATAATTTGAAATGACCGTATTAGTGGAACGCCATAAAGTGAAACGCCGTAAAGCGGGGCCTTCCTGTATATATACACAGCCTCTCCTCACTTAACGACGTACTTGTTTACCAATGCCACGGACTTACTATGGGCTCTCTGACAAGTATTTATACCTAACTAGTGTATATTAGACCTGATTTCCTCTACTCTGTTTATTTCAATATACAGTACACTACAGTATAGGCATATAAAAAATATACCAGAAATGTTATAAATGGTGCAAAGGTGACAGTAAAACAATATCAAAGATGGTTGACACAAACCCACCACCATTATACAGTGGACCCCCGGTTAACGATCACCTCCAAATGCGACCAATTATGTAAGTGTATTTATGTAAGTGCGTTTGTACGTGTATGTTTGGGGGTCTGAAATGGACTAATCTACTTCACAATATTCCTTATGGGAAAAAATTCGGTCAGTACTGGCACCTGAACATACTACTGGAATGAAAAAAGTTCGTTAACCGGGGGTCCACTGTACTATGCTCCTCACTTAGCGACGAATTCGTTTAGCAATGTGGTCTTAGGAATGGAACTCTGTCATTAAGTGAGGAGAGGCTGTATATATATATATATATATATATATATATATATATATATATATATATATATATATATATATATATATTATATATATATATATATATATATAATATATACACTACATTACTTTATGTACTTATGAACACACCATTAATTGCTAAACACAGCGTGTATGTGTACTCACCTATATGTGGTTGCAGGGGCTGATTTGTAGCTCCTGGACTCACCTCTTTGCTGGTCGCTACTAGGTTCTCTCTCCCTGCTCCAAGTAATTTATCAAAGTTGTCATTGTATTATAATTATTTTATCGCAGTTGTGTAATTCATTGGCAATCAAGTTTTCTTAACGTCTACCACAAACACAATACAAGAACTATTCATATAATTTATTATAGTCAAGATAAATACACAACAAACTGGGTAAGTTACTTTCCTCTTATATATTTCTTTTTCCCAAGAAATCAAACAGTAATACACAAATGTCTTGATAACATACAATATACAGTACTGTATGGGCGATAAATAAGTCACCCAAAAAAATACATGCTAAGTATACAGTAAACAGACTTTAAATATGAGAATGTATTTGGCAAATTATTTTTTTGTGTAATTGGTTGTGTAATGAACACAGTGTTACTGTAAGATTGTTGCAGTGCACTGGGGTCAACACAGTGTTACTGTAAGATTGTTGCAGTACACCAAGGTCAACACAGTGTTACTGTAAGATTGTTGCAGTACACCAAGGTCAACACAGTGTTACTGTAAGATTGTTGCAGTACACCAGGGTCAACACAGTGTTACTGTAAGATTGTTGCAGTACACCAGGGTCAACACAGTGTTACTGTAAGATTGTTGCAGTACACCAAGGTCAACACATTGTTACTGTAAGATTGTTGCAGTACACCAAGGTCAACACAGTGTTACTGTAAGATTGTTGCAGTACACCAGGGTCAACACAGTGTTACTGTAAGATTGTTGCAGTACACCAGGGTCAACACAGTGTTACTGTAAGATTGTTGCAGTACACCAGGGTCAACACAGTGTTACTGTAAGATTGTTGCAGTGCACCAGGGTCAACACAGTGTTACTGTAAGATTGTTGCAGTGCACCAGGGTCAACACAGTGTTACTGTAAGATTGTTGCAGTACACCAGGGTCAACACAGTGTTACTGTAAGATTGTTGCAGTGCAACACAGTGTTATTGTAAGATTGCTGCAGTGCAACACAGTGTTATTGTAAGATTGCTGCAGTGCAACACAGTGTTATTGTAAGATTGCTGCAGTGCAACAGGTTCAACACAGATTTGCACTATATATCTCAGTCACTGCTTGTTTTCATTTCCTGAGTTCAGAACATCACCATCACTGGCAATATTTAAGTTCTAAACATTTTTTTTAGCTATCGCTACCAAAAAAAAAAAAAATAAATTCAAGGAGTATATGACTCTGATTGGAGTTTAAGTATTACAGTAGTGTGTACACACTACACCAAGCCATAATAGTGCTGTAATTTACCACTCAACTCACTGACTATACCTCAATGCACAATAATATCATCACGCAGAGTTGTTTAAAACCAGTGAGACAATACCACCATTGTTACATTTAGTGTCAAGAATAATGCCAAAACTATTTTTAAAAACAGTTCCCTTGAATATCCAGTCAATAAATATTTTAACTCTTATCTCTGCACAACATATTCTGCAAAGATTAACATATTTTCATTTGTTTTTGACACTCCTTCCCATCCTTTAATAAGATATAATCTCTATGGCATTAGATAAGACACAGAGATGTAATACAGATCATTGATTTTCTGTCGACTGCCAATTTGGCTTTCATCATTCCATGGTACCTAAACAGATAATGCATAAAAGGTCATAAAAGACAATAAATAAATGACATGATTATCCAATGTTCATGATAATCCATAGCGACCTTCCTCAGTAGGTTTAAATTAATTTTAAGGCTGCCCAAAATACTTGATTAAATATGTACATCAATTACAGTCATGCGTCGCTTAATGAAGTGATTTCATTGTTGTGCAAATGTACTTACAAAAACCTAGATGGTATAGCCTACTCCACACTTAGGCTATATGGTATAGCCCATTGCTTCTCGGCTACAAACTTTAGGGGCCGTGAATACAGCAACACAAGATTAAATCAAACACAAAGGAAAAATGGTGTTATCAAAAGAGGCGGTTAACACAAGATGTATGAGGCTGCTGCCAGTGTAACACCCCAAACTGTTTTACAGTAAACTTTTTTTTTATAAGTAGAAAGAGTACATTCTAGAATAACGATAAACAGTACAGTATGGTAAATACATAAACCAGTAACACAGTTGTTTATTATTGTTAAAAAGTATTTTAGCACCATACATCATTATACATGCTATACTTTTATACGACTGGCAGTGCAGTATGTTTGTTTACACCACCATTGTATGTGCAGTCCATTGTTGACCAAAATATTACCTATGCATGACTGTATTGCTGTATCAAGTGTTTATTGTACCTTACTGTAATAAAGATTTCACTGTCACTGGACACTTAATGATCTACTGTATATACAACAGTATACATGTATATGTATTTTACACTAACAAATTCTTGTTGGCTCTAATTCCTTTCAAAATTTGGGTATACAAATATGTCACTGTTAAGGTAAACTGAGGTTGTACAATAATAAACTTAGCAAACTGTGTAAACATGGTTTCATATGGACACAAAGAAGGATCTGTATGGTGGCATTTCTGCACCTTATCCTTACACCACACTCAGGCATAATAAATGCGACATGAAGAATTGTGTTTCTCCAGTAATTGTGATCTGGAGGAGCTACACTGTTAGCTCTGGGGTCTGGAAGGGATATAATCCACTCTTCTTAAAGGCTTCTTTAACAGCCTTAGGCTGTTCCAATTTGGCTAATAGTCTTTCTAGCATGGTGATGAAAGAGTCCTGAGTTATCACATTACTTCCATTCTGTTTGCATTCTTGCATTATGTGCATCATTGAAGCCTCAAGAGGCTTGAAGACGGCAGCAGCTGTTGGCTGCAGCAGCTGTGGAGAATTCTGCAGAAGAGCATAAAGTATGACACGATGATGATGGCAGAACTCCCACACCTCCGGGGAGAGGTAGGAGCAGCGGCTGTCTAGGAAGAGCCACACGGGAGTCTCCACACCTGCTCTCTCGATCCAGGGCATGAACACCTGGCTCAAGTACTTCTGGAAGATATCTGCAGTCATGTACCCGTGCTCAGACTCCTTCAACAACCAATCCTGGAGCATGCTGGAGCCGTTGCATTTGAAAGGACAACCTGAAGGAGAGATGATTGCTCCAGGCAGTGTACGCCCATCAGCACACACACTCACAAAAACCGTAACGGAATCATTATCCCCTCTGACACGGTCAAGGATGTTTTTAGGACAGTGTGGAGCATGTACAATACCAGCCCCTGAATACATAAAAAAAGTTGTCTCATCAGCGGTGAATATCCGACTAGGATTAGTGAAGGCATCCGTAAAGCCTTGGCTTGTACAAAAGGCATCTAAATTTTCTCTCCAGAGAAGCATTTTGCGTTGTGTGACTCCCAATTCATAAGCAAGGAGGTCATCTGGGGAACTGAGTTGGATGTGAGGATGGCGTCTGAAGAAGGTTTGGTACCACATGCGTCCAGGGCGGTCATCCTTAAATGGATTATTCTTGCCCTGGGCCCGTTGCTTGCGGAGGAGCTCATGCATGACTTCCTGCACATCTGATCTGGTTCGTAAGAAGCCCACCTCGGCCCACTGCTTGAAGCAGTCGACAATGTGTTGCTCTTGTTGGCTAGTGAAGACACTGAATTTGGAAATAAAAGCCTTGTCATTATGGCTGGTGAGTCTGTCATGAAGGGTAGTGAGAGGGACGCCGTACTCCCTGGCTGCCTGTCGCTGGCTCATCCTTCCCTCGCACACAGCTTCCAGGGCCTCCAGTAATGTCCTCTTGTCATACTGGTTATACTTCTTGCGTCCGCTCATCTGATGAAGTAACATAAGGTCAACTTTAGCTAGCAAACTAAGTCAGGAGTAACTTTGTCAAAATAACAATGCAAACTTTGCCCAGTGACAAAACAGGGTCAACACTGTAATCCCTAATGTAATATGCAGTAAACTATAATTACAATAAAAACTAACTCATACTATACTGTACAAGGTATATAGATACAGAAAGCTGAAACATCTGTACATAAGCAAGTTCTATAATAGAGCTCCACTACAGAGTGAATATTTTTGTAAATGCAATTGAGACAATGCATCCAAAATTGTATAGCATAAGAAAAGGTCCTCAGAATACATGCTAAATTACTATTTAATTTGGGATGCATATTTTCAACTGCATTTGCAAAAAAACTGCACTAGATAGAATAGCTTAAGTTTGTTCGAAATGCTCTGCATATTAAGGCGCTTTCTGCATGCACATCTAAATGTCATTCACCTTTGTACAAACACTGTATAATGCAGAAACAATTCTTTGACTTAACTACAAAAACTTGTCTAATCTTTAACATTTATTTATGATAAAATGTTATGAGAATTTTAACCCTTTCAGGGTCGCCAGGCCCTCTCCAAGACTTGTTCTCAGGGTCGCCAAATTTAAAAAAAAAAAAATTATTTTTTCTTATGAAAAGATAGAGAATCTTTTCTCGATCATAATGACACCAAAAGTATGAAATTTGATGGAAAACTTATGGAATTATGCTCTCGCGAAGTTAGTGGTCTCGACGATGTTTACGCATCGGCGATTTTGCCCACTTTGAGCCCTATTTTTGGCCAATTCAAGTGTACTAGTCGACAAAAAATCATAACTATTTCACTAGAACTCCATTTTTTCTATCGAATGAGTACAAGAAACCACCCATTTACCGATTTCAACCTTCCAATAAAGTGGTCAGAAATTAGCAATTTTGCCAATTTCGCACAAATTTCAAAAGATGCCAATTTCCAAATAGGGTCCAGAATAAACAAGAAAGACATACCTGGCACTAAAATAACATTTCCTCTGTTCATTAGTCATGTCCCCATGCCCCTCTTACATTCATTTGCTTTCCACTTTGAATTTTTATTCTCACAAAAAAAATAGAAGATTTACTGTTATGCAGACTACTGCATCAGTGTAGCAATGGTATAAATAATATCAGCACACTGTGAAAGAATATTAGACTCACCAGTTGACGTGTATTGGACGCGTAGCATGATTTGTTTACTTTTGAACTTTGGTTCAAAAGTAAACTTCAAGCTACTTTAAGCTCAATTTCAAGGTACTTTTCATTGTAAAACCAGTCAAAATCACCTCAATTTCTGTAATATGTCTTCCATTCTATAAAATGAGACCAGGAAAACTAGAATACAATAATAAATACCATACGAAAATACAGTGCAAAGTCGCTGTTTTAATCCAAGAACACGGTCAAAGTTTTTTTTTCTCATTACGCATTGTGTGTTGCAGGATTTTTTTATACTGCGCACACTGACCACATAGACCCATTCTTTCATATGTAGGCCTACCAGCTTTCTCTCACTAGATTTGAGGGCGCTAGAATTTAGGCATACTAGTACGTCAAAAACCCTGGTGCGTAAGCCGTACTAGTACGTCCAAAACCCTGAAAGGGTTAATGTAAACATATGCATGATGTACCAAGATATATTAAGTAATAATCATAAGATATATTAAGCAATAACCATGCAATATCTAGTAAAAAGCTATTATATACAGGAACAAAAATTTTGATGCCATGTGAATACAGTGGACCCCCGCTTTACGATCACCTCCCAATGCGACCAATTATGTAAGTGTATTTATGTAAGTACGTTTGTAGGTGTATGTTTGGGGGTCTGAAATAGACTAATTTAATTCACAATATTCCTTATGGGAACAAATTCGTTCAGTACTAGCACCTGAACATACTTCTGGAATGTAATATCGTAAACCGGGGGTCCACTGTATATTGTAAAAGAACTGCTAGATTCCATCACATTTAGAAGAGTCTAGCTTCAGTACACGAGGCACTGCATGGAAGAAATTAATAAGTGCTACAGAGGCCAAAATCTGGGTTAGTGAACGAATCAAATTCAAAAAATTATTTCTTTGTGTATTTACATGTAATAAAATATTAAGTACAAGGAAAGCCACTAACATGCATGAGCATTTCTGGTAGACTAATATGTACTTACTACTTAAGACTAGACATAGGTTATGGAGTTGTGAATTTTAATTATATATTATTACAAAACGAGGGGTAACAAATTTTGTCTGTTAGTGGGCATATGTAGATTGTTTCCTGTATTGATAAATTAGGCTCAGAGTCCCATAAAGTATGGTAACTTGATCTTTATAGTTCTGATCTCCCCTATGCATGTACTCTTCTCCATTATTTGAATTTGGCACTTGTTCGTTTCTGTGGAGCACCGCCTCATACATCTATCAGAACGTGCATTACAACTAACACTGGGAATACACAGTACTCTGTTGTATGGGAAAAAACTGACTTTTGCACAGGTACATGTAAGTAGTATATACAATTATGATACATTGTGAAAATTATCTAGGAAAACATGATTATTATTATATCCATGGAGGAATTTGTTGCCCAGAATGTAGATCACAATATAGGCTTTATAAAACTGATTACATCCAGTACACATAACTAATATTTTTTACAAATAAAGATTTAAATTTGAATTTTAAAATGCTGCTGAGTGGTCATATGATTAAATTAGAGCATGCCAATACATGTTCAATTTTAGGCCAATATTCAAAGTTAGCCAAGCTTGAGTTCTGGAGGTGGGAAGTAGTGTGGCTGTACTTTGATGGATGAGCTGGGATGACAACTAGGAAGTGAGTGACCCATTTCTGTATGAACAATGTATCAAGTTGAAATAGGCTTGTACTGTACACAAATAACCCACACAGGTAACCCACAGGTAAACACATAGGAGAGAAACTTACGATGACATTTCAGTCCGTCGTCAAAAGTTTCTCTCCTGTGTACAGGTTATTTGTGCATTGTTCCAGTCATGGTATTGTGACTTTTTGTTCTTTAGGTTTGTACTGTATTATATTGTAAATATTCTTCCTTCTTTAGGACATATGAACTTGCTGCTAAATGGCAAATGCAGCATTTTTTAATAAGAAATACAAACTTTAGGAATGCAACTCTTGTTGACAAGACTTTTGTATCTAGCAATGTATTATTACATGTAAACTACATTAACTTTGTACAGCATAAGAAAGAAATAAAAATTTGAATTTAAATCTGTCAATATAATACTGTAAAGAGGCCCTAATTTATAAATGAATTTTGTTACTATTTAAATTCATGGAGGGTACTAACCTAACCTGCAAGTGTGACACAGCAGAGAGAGGGATGGAGAGGTGGACATGTCGGGGAAAGAACATTGGCTAAACAGATGGTGGTTACAGCTGATAAAACAAACTGGTATCAGCTAGGATAATGTGTCCCAACTTACAAATGAGTTGTTTGTAACCCTGAATCACATAACCATATTGGCACTTGTAAAAAATTATTTTCCTGACATTGTGCCTGAGATTCTCAGGTAAGATATGTGGACCGTGCTTTTTGTAACAGAGACAGAAAGGTCAGACAGAGAGTGTGCCTTCCAGGAGCAGGTGTTGGTGACATAGTCAGCAGGTTGGATAACATTATGTCAGGTAATGGGAACAAGCCCATTATCTGTCTTAGTGCTGGGGGTAATGACATTGGGAAGGGCAGGACACAGGAGCTGCTGGATAAGTACAGGTCAGCCATAGAAGTAGTTAGGTCTAAGGGAGGGATCCCAGTCATATGCAGCATCTTGCCTAGAAAGGGAGTGGGCAATGAATGGATGTCTAGGACAATTGGTATAAATTGCTGGCTAGACAGGTACTGCAAGGAACTTGCAATCCCATTCATTGATAACTGGGACCTATTCTTTGGCAAATGTGATATGTATGCAAGGGATGGGGTTCATCTCTCTGGGATGGAGTGGTTGCATTAGCCAATTCGATTGAGAGAGTAATTGATGACTTATCTAGGAATTTAAACTGATAGATTATAAAGGTATGGGTGTTCATGGGAAACAATCAGGCTGCAGTATTAGGGTTAAAAACAGCAATTACCGGGATACTTCAGGGATATGTTTAAAAGACAATATTCAAAATAAAGTTGCTAGTAATGACAAATCAATTGATCAACAAACAAAGAGAGATAGAAGAGGGCAACGAGTGACTAGCTCCCTTAAGGTTTACTATACAAATAGTAGGAGTCTAAGAAATAAGATAGATGAGTTAAGATTACTTTTAAGTGTAGGTAATATAGATATTGGAAAGTAAAAGGACACAAGTGCAACTAATGTGACATTTTATTGTGGCAATGTTTCACTCTCCAGGAGCTTTGTCAAGCCGTTACAAACAATACATGGACACAGAGGGTATATATAGGCTCAGAGTGAGGTGCAATAGTAGTGGTAGTAGTAGTAGTAGTAGTGACAAAAGTTGTAATAGTAGTAGTAGTAATACAATATGGTAGAGCAATTAATTCATACATGAGTAAAAGGATATAAAAGCTATTACTTGGGTAACATAAAAATAGGTTGGACAAATATAGACTGGATAGAGGCAGCCTGTTTGTGTTCACTCTCTGCAATGTGCTTTGTGTAGTATAACAGGAGGGACTATGTGATGGCAGGGTTTACTGTTTTCAGGAGGATTCTTACTAAGACTTCAGAGATGGTAAAGCTGCCGCTGTTTTGTTTAATTGTGTTCGAAACAGTGATCAGTGCTGATTCGAGGCACTTGCATCGAGGCACTTGCGTTTGAGGCACTTGCAGAAGCAAGTGCCTCGAATCAGCACTGATCGCTGTTTCGAATACAATTAAACAAAACAACGGCAGCTTCACCACCTCTGAAGTCTTAGTAAGAATCCTCCTGAAAACAGTAAACCCTGCCATCACATAGTCTCTCCTGTTATACTACACAAAGC